AGGCCAGGCTGGAAAGCCCTAGACCCTCTGTAGCTATGGCAGAGAAATGTTTAAGGGATTTGCCGGCTCAAACTGCGGGGTAAATGGCCCGCGGGCTGATTTATGGCGCGTTACTTTGCGACGCGATTCCCCAAGACAGCGGGAATATTTTACACCGTGCTAATATAAACAGGCGGCCGGCCGGGTCCTTTTTATGGAGTTCCTGTAATTACCCGGACCCTGACAGGTCCTTGATTTACTGCCCTATTTAGATAAGGGGTCCAGTGCAGGGATCGCCGGTGGCGTCAAGGTCACAGGACGCGGTGGTGGGGAGCAGGTTTGGCGGTAGGCGTCGGGGCCTGCAGAACCAGGGTGAGGGGAGAAAGGGGTGAGGCTGGAGAGGGAGCCTGCCCTCACTCCAGAGCAGCTAAGGTACAGGGTTCCATTGCACAGATGGGGTAACTGAGGCCAGAGTCCTCAGAGTCGTTTAGCAAGGGAAATGGGGGTCAGGAGGGGACCTGGAACCAGAATCCAGGTCTCTGGGAATGCAATCCTCCTACCTGGGGTTGCTCTGTCTCCTCTATCTCCAGCTTTGTGGCAGCTGAATGCTGCAGGGTAGGTGGGAAAGGGAAGGACCCCAGCTGGGCATTAATGGGAACGGGACAGGGCCAGGAGAAGCCAGCGGCCTGGCCTCTTCTCCCTAGGAGGGGTTTCCAATGGTGTGGCTGCGTGGAATTCATTTCTTCTTGGGAAATTCGTACTCCGAACAGCAGACCCATCTTCAAATGGGGCTACCTTTAGCATTCTGAGTATTCCCCACACCAGTCCACTTCCTTTTACACCAGTCCTCTGTGCTGGGTGGGTATTACTGTCCCCCAGAGGACGAGAAAGAGCGGACGAGAAACAGAAGGTTTGCACAGAGAGGAATGGTAGTGCCCATTTCAACTGCTCTGCTTGCTCTCTTGAGAAGTCCTGTAACACAGTTGTTTAACCAATACTTGCTTACGATCTCTTCTCCGGGAACTGGAGTGAGAGGTCCTGCCTGGCCTCCCCAGCACAATTTGGGGAAGAACTGAGAAGACTGCATGGAAAATTCTGAGAGCCAAAATTGCTGAAGCCACTCACTAGGTGAGCAAGGCAGGTGTGGGGCACTGCAGAGGACCGTGGGACTGGCCAGCAGGACCCCAGGCTCTCCGGCCCCTGGTGCTTGGGCTGGAGGAGGAATCCTCCCTTTGGGGCCCAAGGGCAGAGGAGCCAGGGTGAGTCCACATAACAGTGGAGGTCAGTCCTATCTCCTTTTCCTGCAAATGGGGAAACTGAGGCTCAGGGCTGGAAAGGAGCAAAGTAAGGTTCTAGACAGGGCTCGAATTGAACTGGAAGCCACAGGTCTTGCCTGCCAGCCAAAAATATTTTTGGTCAAACTCCCAGGTCCAAGAGCTCCCTTTATCGTATAGCCCGGGGGGTGGGGGAGCAGAGAACACACTCACTGGGTCCTGTGGCCCTGGAGCTCTGCGCACTCCTCATGCACCCGAGCCTGTCTGGCTTTGAAAGCACTTTGGAGACTGGGTCGCTCTAGCATCTTACTGCCTGGGGTGACACTGCTTTCAGCCCAGCAAGTCCCTTCAGGCTGTGCTCCCAGGGAGGGCACATAGAACAGATTTCAGGGGGGCAAAGGGTAGGGGCAGGGCTATCCCAGGCATTGGTGGCAGGGACAGCAGGCCTCCTCTGCATTCATGGGGTGGTTGGTGCCAGGCAGTCCTGGGGGCCTCTCGAGGTAGGTGTGGGACTGGGGCCCCCCAGTCTGGTGAACATCTCTCACTAGACTAACCAGCTGGTTATCTGGAAGGCATATGCAGCGCTGAGGCATCTCTGTAATGTCAGGAAAGGCACAGGGACGCATGTGGGGGTGGGGTGGGGTGGGAGCTATGTGTTTCTACGTGGGTAGCAGTGTGCTCCTGAGTTAGTCATTGTGGGTGCGGTGATACTGTACACGCTATTGTGCAACTTCACTTTTAAGGATTGAGAATGTGACTGCATAGGTAAGGCTGAGATTGTCAAGTAAATGTGTGAAATTTGTGTGCCTATGTGTAATGTGGCTACCTGTGTCCACTTTGGAGCACCTGTGCCTATATAATAATGCTGTGTGGTGAGTTCTTTTTCTTCTGCATACCGGGGATTGAATCCAGGGCTTTCACGCTGAGCTACATCCCTAACCCTTTATTATTATTATTATTTTGAGACAGAGTTTCACTAAGTCACTAAATTGCCCAGGCTTGGCTCCAATTTGCAATTCTCCTGTCTCAGCCTCCCAGAGTGAGTGCTGGCACTAGAGGCAGTTGCCACCAAACCTGCATCTGGCTTGTTTTTTGAGACTCAGCCTCAATACATTGCCCGGCTGGTGTCTAATCAAATTCTTGGACTGAAGTGATCCTCCTGCCTTGGCCTCCTGAACGGCCTCTGATACTACACATGGGCACAATCGCACCCCAGCGGTATGATGAGTTTTGGGGCATCTGTGCTGTGAGTACAATGGTGGGAAGTTGTAAGAAAATGCAAACTTTTTGCAGGGCTGTGTAATTGTGACAGGAGGACTATGTCATCCGCGTACATTTAGAATTTCTGTGCCCAAGCTGTGGGACTTGGTCCTCGTGCATGCCAGAGGGTAGGGATGGGAGTGGCTCTGTGTGCCACATCTGAAGCTGGGGCCAGCAGCACTGGGGTTGGTCACCCACCCACCATGGGTGACAGAGGCACTGTGCAAACCCTGGGGGGGGCGTGGGTGTTGAGATACTGTGTGTACTGGGCGTGTGTCTTGCTGTGGGATGCATGGACTTTGGCGTACTACGGGAATACTTGGGCTTCTGAGGATGCCGAGGGGTGGCAAGTTATGTTCGTGGACACACCCATGTGTGACCGTAGGGCTTCCTACAGGGGCTGCTGAAGACCCGGCTTGGATTAGGGCAAAGGCGGGGTGTGTGTTGAGGACTGAGGCCCCGCTCCACAACTCCACAGCATAATTACTGTAGTCTCTCTACCTTACTTGCAAACGCTCACTCAAGAGCGCCTCCAGGCTGGGAGCTGCCTCTGAATCGGGCGCCGGGTGCTCCCTCCCTGCAAGCCTCCGGCTCCGCGCTGGGCCCAACCCCAGTGCTGCTGGCGCCAGGCGCCGGCAAGGGCGGCGGATTTGCAGCCAGCCTCAGGCGGGAAACCAGGACCTCCCTGGGCCGCCCCGCCACCTCCAGCACCTCCAGGATCCCCAGCCCCAGCAAGCTCCCACAGGTGGAGGCAGCCAGCTCAGACCTGGGCAACTGTCCCCTTCCTTTCTATAGCCCTCCCCTCTTCCATGGACCCCCCAAAGTATGTGTGTCCACAGAAGCACTCACACCCGGTGCGTGGACAGCCTCTCACTCTTGCATTCCTGGGGTTTTACAAATTATCTCTATCACCGCAGAGTACACCTCTGCTCCGCATGCTTTCCCACTGCTGGGCCCCGAGGGAAATTGTTATCCTGCCTGGACCTCACTTTCCCTATCTGCACAGGGAGAGAGCTGGGCTTTCTCCCTTTGCTTTTGCACTGGTGACTGCCGACCATCTCATCCTCACAGAAAAGCAATTTTTGTGTGAGTGGATAAATAATGATTTGCCCTCTAAAAACCATTCCCGAAATCTCCTGCACCCTTACCTCAACATTGCCTTTGAGAGATCGGAACTTTTCCTCTACCCCACCTAGGGGAGAGGTCTGGCTGGGAAAGGTTGTCAGCTCTGACACCCCCAGGTATATGGACATCTGCTAACAAGGTAACCTAAGGAAAAGTGACAACAGTCCCAGCCAGAAATGTGGCCACCCTCGGATTCCCAGGTTCTTACTGGACCCCTGGGAAATCCTCCTCCCCACCATGGAGAGAATGGGACCACAGGAAAGGGCCCAGCCCAAGGGGAAGCAGAGGAGGGCTGGCAGCCCCATGGCCCCTTCCAGGGTGGGTATGAGGCGCTCCACAGTGCCTTGCTCCACCCGGGAGCCTCCCCCATGCGGTATAGGCTTGGCTCCTTCTACAGGTTTTCCCCAAGGTGGGAGCCTCTGGGACAGTGTCTTCACAGAATCTAGCATTCGCAGGGTGACATCTGGATAGAGGGCCCAGCATAGCCTTGTCGCCGGCGCTCCCCCAGGGTCCTGCGGTGGACACACAGCGGTTAGACGCCTGAGGGCCAGCCTTTACATCAGCTGGCCCGCTGGCCTTTTGACTGGATCAGGCGCCTGGGAAGAGAAAAGAGCAGATCTCAGGTCCTGGAGCCCGGAACAAACCGGTAAAGGCCCGGAGGCTTGGAGTCCGAGCCCGACCGGCCCCCACTCCCACCTGGTCAGTAAGCTTCCCTGCTGGTCAGCAGCGGTCGGCCAGACTGAGGACGATTGTTGAGAATCGGCTGGGGTATCACAGGGTATATGCCAGAAGGGGCAGACGACTAAAGGGTGGGCGGAGGTGTAGGCGAGGCACACGGAGGCCTTTCCTGCCTCCCCGAGCACAGCCTTGGGGCCCTGGACTGGGAGCGGCCGGAGCCCTTCCTGTGAATTCTGCGAGTCTAGAAACAAGGACCGTTGTTTTCTCCCTTCCTCTCCAGGTCTCAGTTCCCTTATCTGTAAAATCAAGAGGTGGACTTAGGCGAAGGCTTTCTTTGCTCCTTGCTGATTCTAGATTATTTTCCTTGGATCCACAGGGGTGGGTCAGCGGCAGCCCGGGCCAGGGGCCGCCCGTGTCACCGGTGAGTGGCCCCGCCCCCCGGCGGAACGCCCCTAGGCTGGCCGCGTCGGAGGCGGGGCCTCTCCCTTCGCCCCGCGGCCCGCAGTCCGTGGCTCCTCTGTAGAACCCGGGCCTGCCGCCCCTCTTCCTCCTCCCGCCCCCCTGCCATTGGCTCCAGGGAGAGTTTGACATCAAGGCTGTGGCCTTATATAAGCCAGGCCCTGAAGGGGAGTCCGCAGAAGGGTTAAACGGGTCTTGGGACGCCAGCGTCCCGGCCGCCCGCGACTGAGCGCGCAGTGCCATCTTCAGGCCTGCCCAGGACTCCCCGAAAGCCGGCGCCCAGCACCGCGCGGCCCGGGAGCCCACGGGTGGCCCCGGTGGTCTGTGGGGGCGCATGGGGCGGCGCTAATCGGGCTGGCGGCGCAGGCCAGGAGCCTCTCCAACATGAACCTCGTGGGCAGCTACGCACACCATCACCACCACCACCACCACCCACACCCCGCGCACCCCATGCTCCACGAGCCCTTCCTCTTCGGCCCGGCCTCCCGCTGTCACCAGGAGCGGCCCTACTTCCAGAGCTGGCTGCTGAGCCCGGCGGACGCCGCCCCGGACTTCCCGGCAGGCGGGCCGCCACCCGCAGCCGCTGTGGCCGCCGCTGCCTACGGTCCCGATGCCAGGCCTGGCCAGAGCCCGGGGCGGCTGGAGGGGCTCGGGGGCCGCCTGGGCCGGCGGAAAGGCTCAGGACCCAAGAAGGAGCGCAGACGCACGGAGAGCATTAACAGCGCGTTCGCCGAGCTGCGCGAGTGCATCCCCAACGTGCCGGCGGACACCAAGCTCTCCAAGATCAAGACCCTGCGCCTGGCCACCAGCTACATCGCCTATCTGATGGACGTGCTGGCCAAGGACGCACAGGCTGGCGACCCCGAGGCCTTCAAGGCTGAACTCAAGAAGGCCGACGGGAGCCGGGAGAGCAAGCGGAAAAGGGAGCTGGTGAGTCGGGCCTGCAGGCGACAGCCCAGGGTGCGGGCGGGGCGGCAGGGCAGGCAGTGGCGGGGCCCTGTGCTCGAGTGTGCGGTCTGGAAGGGTGCGGGGCGTTGTGAGATGCTCACAGTGTGAGAGTGCGTGCGCAGAGGGAGGCGGATTCACGGCTGAATTAGCCGTGAGTGGGAGAGTGCTTGTAAGGCCGAGAGAACAGAGAATCTCTACGCTTTCCCGAGGCTCTGGGGCTCTCTCTAGGAGCTCACTGAAAGCCTCGGTCCCAAGAAGGTGCCCCTTTGGCTCCGAATTAGGAGGAGGCGCGCCCCAGCCCTAACCCATTCTCCTGGAAGCCAGGTTAGCAATACGAGTAGGAGTCCGTGGTTTTAGCTTGCTTGAATGTGTTTGAGCGCAGGGCCCAGTGACTGCATTCAAGGGGCCTTTTTGGGCGAGGGTTGTCTACTTTCATTACTGTACAGGTAGGGAGACTGAGGCCCTGGGTGTGTCAAAGCAGGAGACGTGCAGTGGCGGTTGGACGGGGCAGGTCTTCAGCCAGAGTTCACAGCGTTTGCCGCCAGCTCCACTGCTCAAGGGCTGGGTTTACGGGCAACCTCCGTGGTTTTGTCGGTGACGGAGCACGAGCCTCTGTTGGCTTCGGAGTCCCCACTCGGGCTCTTTGGATCCTCTCCGCTTAGGGTGATTCTAACCTAGAGCTCTGGGCGGCAGGACCTGGGGCGCCGTGATTTCCGGGCGGGCGAAAGTGCGCGCTCTGAGCCCAGCGCGCCTGCAGTGAAATACGGCAAGCTCACTGGGGACGCGGACAAAGACAGACAGGCCTTGGGTCTCTAAGCCACTGCCCTGGGCTCGGGAAGCGCCTCTTTGAAAGTAATTGTAGGGCGCATCCCGAGGCCCCACGCGGCGCTGCCTCCCATAAGTTGGGCCTCCGGGTGGCTGCTCCAGGAGCCGGGAAGGAGGCCTCCAGGCCAGGCTAGTTCCTTCCTCCTTCGTCCAGCCCTCTGAGGCTCCCAGCGGCGGCTTCAGCGGACCCAGCCCTGTGTCGAAGCTACGTGCGAACCCAGGGAAGTTGGTGGGGTGTGCAGGTAGAGGGAACAGGTCCACGAGCTGGCGAAGAGTTGATTCCCACCCGTTGAGGCTGCCAGCTCCCTGTGGTCTCCCCGAGGTGCCCTAAAGCCAACCCTGCGCTCATCGGTTTCACCAGATCCAGAAAATTCTTGTTACCAAACCTCCCCAAGATCCGCATCCCATCCCACTTCCCAGGAACTTAGCGCATAAAGGCAAATTTACGAGCCTGTTTGCCTGTTTCGCAAACAGAAATCCCTCACTTATTTAAAGACTGGAAGTCAACTGCTTTCCACGCTTCCCCCCACCCGCGAGCCGGGTGAATCGGAGCAGAACGATTTAAACCTGTTCCCTCTCGCCTCTTTTCCCGTGTGTCTGGCAGCCGCAGCAGCACGAAGGCTTTCCTCCTGCCCTGGGCCCAAGCGAGAAGAGGATTAAAGGGCGCACCGGCTGGCCGCAGCAAGTCTGGGCGCTGGAGCTAAACCAGTGAGCCGAGACCCGCGTGAGGACCTGGCCCCGGCTGGCCGACCCGAGCCCGGGACGAGAGGAAGGCGGTGGCTAAGGCCGGGCTCTGGGCTCCCGAGGCTCTTGCCGGATCGCGCGCAGCCTCTGCCCAGCGCTGGCCGGCCGCCGGCTGCAACCACACACTTGGATCGCACGTGCAATGTCCTTTGAAATGGTTTTAAAATACATTAAGAGAAAGAGAAGTTTATATATATATATATATGTATATCTCTATTTCCTCTGAGGGCGACTCTTGGGAGGCACGACGCAGGACGGAGGGACCGCGGAACCCAAGCGCCCGAAGATCCTTCCAACCCTGCTGCGCCGAATTCAGAATCCCCAAGCGCCACCCTCGCTCTGCTCTCCGGCTCTTTCTCCCCCCACCCTTTGCGTCAGAACCCCCAGGCGCCTTTTTGGATGGAAATGCAATAAGAGGAATCAATAGTTTTCCACCAGGGAGAGAGAACCAAAAGCAGCGAGAGGGAGGGCTGACTTTTGCTGTTCCTTTAAAACTGCAGTGTTTTAATTTTATTTGGATCGCTGCGCTTCCTACCTAGTCCCGCTCTCTCTCTCTTTTCCTCCCTCCCTCTCTGTCTCCCCCCACCCTCTTTCTCCCCTCCTTTCTAAATAAAAACTGTCCCCAGTGTTGCAAAGTTTTTGTGTATTTAAACTACCTACCAAGCCTGTTTTGCTCAGGTGTTTGTCTCCCGGGCCCACCCCTTTTCTACCTCAGATCTGTAAGACCACTCACCGCCCTCCCTTTGCCAAAGCAGCATCTATGCTCTTGACTAATAAAAAGTTTTCTGAACCCTTGGAAACCCGCGTGGTGTCTCTGCCAGCGTCCCGCCGGGCTCTGCGGATCTTGTTCGGTGGCAGCCTGCGTTCCCGCCTTTCTCGCGTTGATAACCGCCAAACCAAACTGCGAATCAAGTCGAGGGACCGAGGCAGAGATCGGATTTGCTCCTGGAACGAAGAGTAGCGTTCTTAGACTGAAACATCAGGACGGACTAATTTACTTGAGCAGCAGGAAACGAGGAGAAAAGGACCTACAGGTTTGTCCGGGTGGGTGCAGAGGTTTGTGGGGCGGGCGCAGCTCGGCGCGTACCCTGGTGTCTGCGAACTGACCGGGGCTCCTGGGGAGGGGAAAGAGGCCATCGCACAAGCCTGTGCCGTTCTGGGGTCGGAGGAGGGCGACGCGCCGGGGAGCGCATCGGTGTCCGGGAGATTCGGAACGCGTACGTGCGTGAGTGACTGTACGGCAGCTCCTTCGCGGTCTGCTCTGCACAGCTCCGGGCGCGGGGAGGCGCGCAGCCCGTCTTAGCGGCGTTGCTTCACAAGGGAGGAAAGTCAGCCTGTGAGTGTTTATGGTTAAAGTGAGGCATTTAGGTTTCTCTAGCAACACAGCGCCCAACAGGTATTTTTGAGCGCGCGGTGGTTTGTGCAGGGGGCCAAAGGGGTGAGTTGCTGGCGCTGGTCGGGGGAGCCGGCCAGGGGTCCTCGCGCGCGCGCCCGCCGCTGGGCGCGCATCTGCTCACCTGGGGCGGCGCACGCGCGCGGTTACGGTCCCCGGGAAAGAATATCGGACCGTCGGTTTTATTTGAGCGCAGCCGAGCGCTAGGCGCTGCGCTGAGCGCTTTTATGTCCCCTAGCAGCCCCCAGGCCCCCTGCAGGCGACGCAGCTGTGCGGAGGAGGCGGAGGGCGCGCGGGTCTCCAGGCGCGGTCGGGGTCCCCGACAGTTTGAGCTCTGACTTGCGGACCAGAAAGGAGACCCAGGCAGCTCCGGGGCAGGGTCCCCCGCGGCCCCAGGCCGGCCCTAGGCCCCTCTTCCCCGCCTTGGGGTGAATATGGGGCCCCATTAGTCCTGGCTGTAAACACCGTAGCAGGGCCTGAGAGGCCACGCGGGCCTTTCCGGACGCGAAGGAGTTAATAAAAGGTGTTTTATGGACGCAAGGAAAAGGTGGGGGAGGTGTGAGCTGCTCCCTACTCTCGCCCCCCTACTTTTTTCTTTTTTCCCTCTCGCCACCCGCCGCTAGATCAAACAGGCCCGCGATTTAACTAGAGCAACACCTCGAGGTAATGAGCCGGCCCGACGCACCCCTGCCCCGGCCTCCAAAAGGGGCCGGAGGCCCCTAGGCCTCTGGGGAGGCGCAGAAAGAAAAACCGAGGGTTCTTTAGCTTTTTAACTTCCACGAGCTGGGAATCCTTTTGGAAATGCTAGCAGGCGTAGGGAAACGGAGCCAGGCAGCAAGGGGCTGGAGGGCCCAGGAGAGGGAGGGCTAGATTCGAACCCGGGACCCAGTTCAGCGCGTGCATGAACCTCTGGCTGTGCACGGGGCCCAGCTCGCGCTATTTTTAGCATGGTGAAGTATCCTAGGCACGGGAGGAATGCGCACCCTCGTCCTGCTTTCCTAGGGCCAGGAGGAGAGGGGTACCTACCCAGGGGCACCGCCGAGTGGGGCACCAAAAGGCCTCTTCAGAAAACCCCATCCAGCTGGCCCCAAACCCTCTTTGCGCACAGAGCGGGCAGACCCCGCAGTCCTGTCTCCATTAAGTCTTGTCCCATTCTCAGACCCTGAATCTGCACCTGAGACGGAGCAGATGCCCTTGGAGGGGATCGCTTGGTACTGTCCCACCTCCCCAAGTCCACGAACACCCGCGCCGCATTCCCCGCGCCCAGTCCACAGCAGGAAAAGCCGAGCGGGAGAGGGGTGCGGGCTGCTCCGGGGCGCCCAGACCCGTCTCCCCAGGGTCTCCAGGCTGGGTGCAGCGCTGCCAGTCACGTCTCCGCGCTCACCCTTGCTCAGCCCGCCTCCTTTGCAAATTTCATCAGCGCTTCATACTTACTCTCTGATTCTCCATCCAGGTTTCAACACAGCTGTTCACACACCTCAGACCGGTTGTGGCAGAAGCAGTGCTACTACTATTACTATTATTATTATTTCAAATTAAGTACACTATCTTTTAAAATAGAAAAAACGAAATGGCCATGAACTTAACAAACTGCATGAATATTTCATAAATAAAAGGGTCACTGACCCTGCAAGGATTTAACTACAGAACTATCGGGCTAAAGAGTGAAAAATAGAAAAAGACACTATCCGTTTTGATTAGAGAACTGGTTAAATAAATGTATCAGGACAGTGGATTATTACACAGCCATTAGAAAAAAATGTGGGAATTGATGTGAAATTTGCCCATGATGTATGAGGTGGGGGGAAATGCTTCCCACCATACTAAACACTGCCCGTCGTGACCTCCTTTGATATAAAAGTGTAAGTCAGTATCATTCATTGAGAAAATGTGGAAGAGCATTCATCAAAACATTTACACCTCTACCTCTGACTTCTGGGAGTAAGAGTGATTTTTACTTTTCCTCTTGCTTCGCTATATTTTTCTAATTTTTTTTTTACAGTGAATAAATATTACTTTGGGGATAAAAATTAAGCCACAATTTCCTTCTGATTTCTCCGACTGCCAGCACACTTTCAACACTACCCACAGCTGGGCTGGGGATGTAGCTCATCGGCACAAGCGTCTACCTGGCAAGCCCAAGTTCGTGAGTTTGATTCCTGGTCAAAAACAAAAAAACAACACTACCTACAGTTTATTCAACGTAAATACAGTTTATTAACAACGTAATACAGTTTATTAACAACAACAACAACACTACCTACAGTTTATTCAACGTAAATACAGTTTATTAACAACGTAATACAGTTTATTAACAACAACAACAACACTACCTACAGTTTATTCAACGTAAATTTTTTGAGTGACTTCCATGGGTTAGGCACTGTGGGTATGAGTATAGGAAATGAGAGAAGGTACTAATACAGATCAGTGGTTAACATAAGAGTTCTGATTCCTTCCACACAGCAAATGTGTCTTTTTCTTAGATTGTAAATTGGTGAATAATGAAACAACTAAAAAGATAAAGCAAACTGATGATATCCCTGGCATGCATTTTTTCATATTATCCTCACAAGAGTTCTGCGAAGTCAGTATTCAGGTGGCTGCAGCTGAGAGGCGAAGGATCTCGTTCAAGGTCACATAGATGTATGTAGATGGTAAAGGCAGGTTGAGGGTGGGTCAAAGTGCAGATCTGGCTGACTTCAGAGACCTGGCTTTTCTTTACAACTTGGAGCACCTCCATGGGGGGGTGCGTGTGTGTGCGCGTGTGTATATGCTTGTGTGCCCATGTGTACACATACATCTAAACACTGCTCATTCCCTCTGATTTTCCATAGTCACCGAGATAAGAAAAAGAAGGAAGGAATTCTGGAAAGCAGTCTAGGGTTCCAGCCCCTGCCTTTCCCCAGAGCTCTTGCTGGTGGGCTCTGAGCGGATCCCCTATAAAACTGAGGAAGAGCGTAGGCCGCGGATCTCGGCGTGCTTTCCCGCCTTCTGCTGGGGAACAGCTCCGCGTGTGACTGTTCCCAGCCGCCTCTGTGTTTGTTTGCACAGCTCATCCACCTTTCCTGGTACCTGCAGTGCTATAAGCATGTTTTCCTCTCAGGACCCCAGGAGGGAGCTGGTCAGGAATGACGCTCCCTGCGGACAGACGGGGAGAGGGAGCGCCAGAAGCTCAAAGTCACCCACTGGGGTCACACAGCCAGGCACAAGCAGAGCCTGGATTTGAGGCGGCTCTGCAGACGGCTCTTGGGTCTCTGGAGGGCTGTCTCCGAGAGAAGCCGCTGGGACCTTCTCTCCCTGCAAAGGACAGTTAAGCTCATGGTCTTGCTAAATCCTCGTAAAAGAAACAAAGTCACAAAATCAGTTAGCCTCATTTTTAAATGAAAAGTGACTGGGAAGAAGAAAATACACACTCTTAAAAGTGTCTGAAACTAACCTCCTGATTTAAACTCAATTTATTTGAAAAAAAATATTGTTTTTCAGCAGAGAGAGTTTTTACAGCTGAGCTCTCCCAAACCCATAAAAAACAAGGTTTATATGGGAAATAGTGAAAGACTCTTAACTATAATACACAGCGTCCAATGTAAGCAGACACAGACACTATATAAAGCTCCTACAAATGTTATTAAAACAAACAGAAATGCACATTTATCCCCACAGAATGGACAACGGAGGCACTGGATGTTAGAGGAGTCTCACAAGTCTTAGGTTCGCTGAAATACTCAAAGTATCCAGCAACACTGGGATCTCGGAGGTCTGCGTCCACATTCAAATGTTCCCCTCTCTTACACGGGAATTAAAGCCCACGGAGAGGAGAGCCCTGTCCGCAGTAATGCAGGGACCTGCGTTCTTCCTACCCTTGTTGACTGACCACTTTCTGCTCCTGGAACAGGTATAGAACAGCGCCCGGGCCAGGAGACCTAGGGAAGTCACTGCACATTTCTGAAGTTCAGCTTCCTTATCTACAAGCCGGAGAAAAAGACTCTTGCGGGACTTCCAGGGCTCCATGCACGAGCACGAAAGCGATCGAGATAAGGAGCTCAAAGCCCTGCACCGCAGTCTGTGGCAGAGCCCTTTCTATTATTTTATGTAACCCTCTCCACACCCCTTGGGAGGTTATTTTGGTTTGTTTGCTTGTTTGGGGCAAGCAAGGCCGTTTCCAGCAGGCTGGCGCGGTTCAGTGACTTGCCCGAGGGCGCAGAGCCTGCTAATGGATCCCGGATTCAAAACTCCTTACTCAGCACCATCCAGGTAAACCAAGAGGTAGGAAGGACTGCCGAGCTGAGTTTCCCAGACCAGCTAAGGCGTCACCGTTCCCTACAAACAGAATGCAAGCTACAAATGTGAGTCACATGTATAATTTAAAAAAAAATTTTTTTTTTCGTTTTTTGAGG